GCCGATGGGCACTGTGGCCTTCAGGTGACAACCATCCAGAGGCTGTCACTCACCACAGGGAGAAGACCCAAGGCTTCATCAAGCCCTTGAAGAGAAAAGTCAAAGAGGCTCAAAAGTTAGTAAGCATTCAGAGCAGAAGACCCCTGGCCCTGAGAGAGGAGGTGGAAGCACGGAGACAGGAACTGGCTGCTGAATTTGAGCGACTCGATTGGTTTTTAGACAAGGAACAGCAGACAGCTCTCTCCAGGTTAGCCCAGGAGGAGAAGGAGGGTGAGAAGAAACTCAGAGAAAACACGAGAGCTTTTGCAAACTACGGATCCACGCTCAAAGGTCTGCTGAGCCAGGTGGTGAGGCACAGGGCGCTGTCTGAAGGAGAACTGCTGTCAGAAGTCAAAAATTTCTACAAGAATTCTGACAGTCTGATCAGCCCACACATCTTTTCAGTGTATTTACAACAAGAGGCATACTATCTTCCTCCCCAGTACTCTGCCCTACAAAAACTTACGGACAAATTCTCAGAGGATATAATTCTAGACTCGGAAACAGCCCATCTGAACCTAGTCATCTCTGAGGATAAAACACGTGTGAAATTTTCAAAGAGAAAATGCAGTGTTTCTGATTGAAAGACTAGGTTTACCAACAGCCCTCAAAAAAAAACTTACGGACAAATTCTCAGAGGATATAATTCTAGACTCGGAAACAGCCCATCTGAACCTAGTCATCTCTGAGGATAAAACACGTGTGAAATTTTCAAAGAGAAAATGCAGTGTTTCTGATTGAAAGACTAGGTTTACCAACAGCCCTCTTGTGCTGGGGTCTTCAAACTTCCTTTCCAGGAGCCATTTCTGTGTGGTACAGGTGGGAAGGAAGCGGGAGTGGGCTGTTGGTGCCTGCATAGCCCACCTGTCCCCTAGGGGAGGAAGTCCTCCATCCCTCAGGGGTGCTGGAGGATTGCGTGTCAGGGTGAAGGCTGTGAATCCCCAGATGTTGACCCAGATGCTATGCTGCAGGCTGTTAGAGCCTGGTTCATCGGCATTTTCCTGGAGTATGAGTTGGTTCATCTCCTTCTACAGTATGCTTGAGAAGTCTCACGTCTGTACCCACAGGGACCTCTTCTTTGGGTTTCTTTGTCCTTATTTCTATGTAGGACCCAATTCAGGACCTCTTAGGATCTGTCCTGATATAGATTCTGAGTAAAAAACTGGTTTAACAGTTTTTTGTTTTTTTTTAAAAAAATGGCCTCATTTGTCCAGGTTGGCCCCAAGCTTGTTTTAGCTGAGGATGACCTTGAACTCATGATTTTCCAGTCTCTGTCTCTTAACTGCTAGGATTGTAGGTATGAACCACTGCACCCAACTTTTTTTTTTTTTTTTTTTAATATTTCTGAGACAGGGTCTCCCAGTAGCCTCAACTGGCCTGGAACTCTCTATGTAGACCGGGCTGGCCTTGATCTTGCAGTGAACCACCTGCCTCTGCCTTCCAAGTGCTGCGCCACCACACCTGGCAAAACAACATTATTTTTATTTTTTGTTTTGTTTTGAGACAAGTTCTTGGTATGTAGCCATGACTAGCCTTGAACGTGGTAGGTAGAGCAGGCTGGCCATCGACTGTCAGTACTCCCTCCACTTTAGCCTCCTGTCCCTGTGTGCTAGAGTTAAACATAGACCTAAACTCCAGACAACATATGTATTTAAAAATTTTTTTTTGGTGGTACTGATTAAACCAAGTGCCTAGCGGAAGTTAGGCAAGTACTATACCACTGAGCTATATACTTAGCCCCTTTTAACTTTTGAGATAGGTAAGTTACCCAGGCTAGCCTTGTACTGACTCTGTATAGCCCATGCAGGCTTTGAACTTGAGAGTCTCCTGTCTCAGCCCTCCCAAGTACAGGTTTACATGACCAGGCTAGGCCATATCATAAAATTGGTGAGTTTTAAAGGTGGTTTCATTTTATTTTTGACAGGGTCTCATGTAGCCTAGGCTGGCTGCAAAATTGATTTGTAGTAGAGGCTGACCTTGAAGTCCTGATCCTCCAGCCTCAGATTTACAAATATCCAGATTTCTATTTGAAGGTATCCTAGTTGCCCCATAATCTCAAAAACATTGAATACATAATAAATATTAATAAGGGGTTGGATTAACAGTAGCAGAGCTCTTAAAGTTTTACTTGTTGATCTTTGTTTTTTTGTTTTTTTTAGACAGGGTCTCATTATGTAGCCCTGACTGACCTAGAACTCTGCTTTGTAGACCAAGCTGGCTTTGAATTCAGAGATCCTCCTGCCTCTGTCTCCTGAGCGCTAGGATTAAAGGCATGTGATACTGTGCCTGGCTCCCTAAAACATTTTTTGAGGGGCTACAGAGATGGGTCAGTGGTTATGAACACTGGCAGCTCTCCCAAGTTTGATTCCCGTATTGTGGCTAACAACCTTTTTAACTTTGGTTACAGGCATCCAATGCCCTCTTCTGGCCTCCATGGGCACTGCATGCATGCACTACATTTACATACATGTAGGCAAAACATTACATGTAAAAATACATTTTTAAAAATTTTAAAGGTTTTTAAATGTTCCTAATTTTTCTTTACAATAATCAAATCATCAGTGCTACATTTTTCCTTTGTCTTTCTAGTACTAGGGTTGAGCCCAGAGCTGAGTACATGCTATAAAAGTGCTCTGCCACTAAACTGTTTTGTCCTGAGACAGAGGGTTTCACTGTGTAGCTCTAGCTGACCTGGGACTCACTATGTAGACCTGGCTGATCTTGAACTTGCTATTCTTACCCCTCAGCCTCTCAAATAGCTGGGATTATAGGCAAATCCCAGTATGCCACACTAGATTTTGTGAGAGTTTTTTTCCCCCAAAATTTATTGTTATGTGTGTGACTATGGTTCTGAGTGTAGAGATCAGAGCATAGCATTTGGGAGTCAGTTTTCTTATCACCATAGGTCCTGGGGATCAAAATCAGGTCAGGCTTTCAGGGCAAGCTCAACGGGCCATTTCGCAGGCCCTAAAATTGGTTCCAAACATAAGGAAGAGATTGAAAGGATCCTGGCATGAAGTACTGGTGTGCTACTGCAAAGTGAGTTGTTTCTATTTCTAAAAGCTGTAGTAAAGACTTTGGGATGTTTTCACCATAAAGGTGTGATGTATGTTCGAGAGGGAGAGGAATGTAACCTGATGTAATTATTGTATAGGTTCATATGTTGAAATATCACAAGGTGTCCCATTAATGTACACTTTTTATGTGATAAGTTCAATAAATTTAATAAACTTGAAAAAATATAATTTAATTTTACTTATCACTGTGTGTGTGAGTGGGCACTCACATGCTCTGGTATGTATTTGGAGGTTAGAGGACAACTTTCAAGAGTAGGTTTTCTCCTTGTACTGTGGGCCCTGGGGCTTGAACTAGGGTCATCAATGTTGAATGGCAAACATTTCTACCCACTGAGCCATCTCACTCGTACTTGTTCTAAATTCTTGATGTTGTTCTAAACCACCAAACTTGGGGAGATTGTTACAGCTGCAATACAAAATGAATACAAAGGGCAATGTAAATGAAATGTATCAATGTCCTCTTCTGTGAATGTAAAAGCCATTTTAGTCTTGGCTTGGGGCAGAACTGTGGCTGGGGGGTGGGAACAGGTGTGGGTTGTGGCTATTCCCATGACTGTTCTCTATTAGATATAAAAGAAAGAAGAGGGTCTAGAGAGATGGCTCAGTGTTTAAGAGCACTGGCTGCTCCTGCAGAGGACCCAGGTCTAATTCTAGTACCCACATGGTGGCTAACAACTGTCTGTAACTCCAGTTCAGGGGAATCCAATGCCCTTTTCTGATCTCTGCAAGCATTGCATGACATGGGTGCACTTACATACATGCAGACAAAACACTCATACACATAAAAATACAAATAATAAATAATATATTTTATAAAAGAAGAGCCACTTGGGAAAACTATGTTACATCCTATCACTTTCCTTCCCATAGGGGAATAGCGGCAAACTCAAAGAACTGGGTCTCAAAGAACAGAGGCCTGCAGGGCATTCATTTGACCTCATGTTGGAGGTCTGGGTAGGAGGTGTGGGTTGAGTATAGACCCAGGGCCAGCAGGGAACCCAGCAGGTCCTACTGCTTCTGCCTGGCTAGCTAGTCTCAGGGCATCTAAGGATCCTTTTGTGGCTGCTGAGACCTCCCAGGAGAAATCATGGAGACCTTGAAATTTAGTCAAGTGGGCCTGAAAGGCGTGGCTGTTTGGGGCATTAAAGAAAATGTGAGCATTTTCTTATTCATAGTGTTGTTGGTTCAGCACAGCTGTGACAATTTTAGAAGCTTTTCATTCCTATACTTGCTTTAAGAACTAAGACATGGCCATTTACAGTACCAAGCATGAATTCTGTCCTGTGGAGTGAGCCTTAAACCCAATCAGAAAGTAGTTACCCCAACAACATTCATGCCACTATGGCACCAAAGGGTGTGTCTTGCCAGGCCAGTCATTATTATAGCTCACAGTGTTTGTGGTTGGGTAGGGCTGTTGATGGATAAGATACTTGTGAGATGGCGCAGTGGTTAAGAGTACATACTGCTCTTTCAGAGAACCCTACAGGGTTTGGTTCCAAGCTCCTATTTTCAGTGGACTTACAACTGCCTGTAATTCTAGCTCTGGGAGAACCAACATCCTCTTCTGGCCTTCATGGGCACCTGCATTCACACATGCACAAACCCACATAGACACACACCTATGCACATAATTAGAAATAAAAAAATAAAATAGAAGGCCAGGTTTGGTGGTGTACTCCTTTAGTTCCAGTACTCAGGAGGCAAAGGCAGCCAGATCTCTGTGAGTTCAAGGCCAGCCTGGTATACACAGTGAGTTTCAGGTCAGCTGGGGAGACCCAGCTCAAAAAGACCAAAAAAAGAAAAAAAAAAAGGAAAAATAGAAAAGATATTTGTTAGGCTGGGCATGGTGGTGCACGCCATTGATCCCAGCACTTGGGAGGCAGAGGCAGGTAGATTTCTGTGAGTTCAAGGCCAGCCTGGTCTACATAGTGAGTTCCAGGCCAGCTGGGGCTACAGGGAGACCCTGTCTCAATAAGACAAAAAAAAAAGACATCTGTTTTATGCCTGACATGTACAATCCATTTGAGAAGATGTTTCCTTTGTACTTCTTGGAGTAAATATTTCATATATATATTTTTTTTTTAAATTTTATTATTTTTATTTTATGTGTATTTGTGTATCGCCTGCATGTAGGTAAGTGCACCTGTGTCGTGCAATGCCTACAGAAGACAGAAGAGGCTGTCGGATCCCCTGGAACTGGAGTTACAGGACAATGAGAAGAAGCTGTCAGATCCCCTGGGACTGGAGTTATGGACAGTTGTTAGCTGCCATGTGGGTGCTGGGATTCGAACCTGGGTCTTCCGCAAGAACAACCAGTATTCTTAACCACTGAGCCATCTCTCCAGCCCAATATTTCATATATTTTTTTTTTAAAAAAGATTGAGGAAGCACCTTCAACCTGGCTCCCAGGCAGTGGTATGCTGTAAGTGGCTCTCTGGAAAGATTGCCACCACCATTGTCAACACCCTCCCCAGGAACTAAGCCTTTGGCATTCATTGGTGATTTAAGGTATTAGGGTAGACCTCAAGGGAGATCCCAGGTCTTCTGCCATAAAGGTACATGGAAAAGTTTTGTCACAGAGCAAATAATAATAGGAAACATAAAAGAACTATGAATGTGTTCATATCCCAAGTTCGTGGTGCAGTTTGTTATAGTGTTGATGTTGCATTCTATTTCCTGAAGCATTTGGCACTTGGGATAATATTTTGTCTCCCTATTTTACTACAGATCAGACACTGTGTGGCCTTGTTGTCTAAAAACTCAAATAAGATAGTCTTAGGAGAAAAGAAGGGGGAATATTCACACACTCTGGCTGCCATCCTTTGCAAATAGGAGTCCAGACAAGCATCAGTGGGTTTGTCTGACATTTGCCAAATTCCTACATAAATAACCATTACCTGGGAAACTTGAGCAGCTGGGAAATAAATAAGATTTAATAGGTTCAAATGGATAAGGTGGTCTGATCGGGCTGACTTTGTTTTGAGATGAGATACCCATCTCAGAGCTGCAAGAGTGTAAATATGTGCTAAATGTGGCACCGAAAGTCTGTTAGACATAGCTCCGGGCTTCACAGAGGTGCGA